GAAGCAAACAGAGGCCAGAGAACATCCTTGCAAAGTTTAGCTCAACGCCACGCGCCTGCTTTGTGGCTGAACGCTTTGCTGCTCCATCCAAAGAAACTCTCCCCATCTGACAACAGACATCTCTGAGCTGAAAAACAAAAGATACTGGGTTAGCTGCATGCGTAACAGCATTTGTGGCCGTGCAGACACACATCTCATGTTAGTGTCTGTAACAGATGGCTTTTACTCCATCTCTCTTTCTAAATACGGAAGAGCTGCTTAGCCCCATTACAGGGAAACATCTTAGGTACAGTGCAAGCATCACACGTTGCTTTCTCCCTCTAATTTGGAAGTGAGTTGCAGCTGATCTTCAGAAGAACACCTGATCATCAGTCAGGGCAGTAAAACGAGCAGCACGAACAGAGCAAGCTTTCAACCTTCCAACTGGCAGATATTCAAGCAGCTGATGGCTGGTGTGCAGTCACATCACCTGGGAGTGAGGCAGCACTTCTGAAGCGCTATTCCATCCGAGCCAAAGCAGCACTGAGCTGTTACACATTCCACTCCTCTATTGCACCAGAACCCACACTGTGTTTTTGCTTGCCCTCCTCCCCCACCCTCCATAATTCATCTTTATCACGCTAATAGAACAGGGGACCTTTTTATCACTTTCTAAAAATGGCTCTATCCCTTATTTCTGAGATACTCCACCCAAAAGCAACCACACCTCCAGATGACTCACATGCTGATTAGCAAGACAGGTAACAGAACACAGACGTAGACCTGAACCACAGACTGGAAATCGCTTTGTGTGTATGACAACACCCCCTTCAGTGTATATTTCACACACACACACAGTTTTTTTCCCTACAATTCCCAAATATTAATGCATCAGCACAGTTGGTGCACAGCAGCCCACCCAGGATCAGGATTGCAGGTCTTCAAACACCGTCTCACAGACCATCAAAAGCTTTGGACTGATGTTGGAACTGATAGGAAAAGTTCATCCATTTCCTCTTGAAGGAGAAGTTTGAAGTGCTGGAAGCCCAAGAAGACTGACTGGGCCTGCTGTCTCTGAGCAGCCACACATGACAGCTGTTTAGGCCAGCAATTAGCAGAATAACATCCAACGAATCATTTGACTGCAGTGTGACTGGCCTCTCTATGCTTAAACCACATTGTTATAGCAAAATCTTCTCTCTAGATTATGAAGTTTGAGAGGTTCAGGTCCCCCGCCCCCATTCCTTTGAACTGCATACAACAAGAGGACTGGAAAGTTTTCATGACACGCTGGGCTTCCTTGCATCACGAAGAGATGATGAAGAAGAAATCAATGCTTTGAAGTAGCAGCTCAGAAAGCAAAAGGGATCCTGGGCTTCATCAGCAAAGGGGTGGCCAGCAGGGACAGGGAGGTGATCGCCCCCCTCTGCTCTGCTCTTGGCCCCACCTGCAGCACTGCGCCCAGGGCTGGAGCCCCCAGTACAAGAGAGACAGGGAGCTGTTGGAGAGGGGCCAGAGGAGCCACAGAGATGATCAGGGGGCTGCAACACCTCCCTGCAAAGACAGGCTGAGGGAGCTGGGCTTGTTCAGCATGGAGAAGAGAAGCTGCAGGGTGACCTCAGTGCAGCCTGCAGTACCTAAAGGGAGCCTGCAGACAGGAGGGGAGTCAGCTCTTGGAAAGGGGAGATGACAGCAGGACAAGGGGAAATGGTTTGAAGTTGAGGGAGGGCAGATGGAGGTTGGATGTCAGGGGGAAGTTGTGTGCTGTGAGAGTGGTGAGGTGCTGGAACAGCTGCCCAGAGAGGCTGTGATGCCCCGTCCATCCCTGGAGGTGTTCAAGGCCAGGTTGGATGGGGCCCTGGGCAGCCTGGGCTGCTATGAAATGGGGAGGTTGGTGGCCCTGCCTGCAGCAGGGAGGTTGGAGCTTCGTGATCCTTGAGGTCCCTCCAACCCAAGCCACTTTATGACTCTATGGTAAGAGTAAACCCATACCTTTGACACCTCAGGCAGCATTCCCCTCAAGCTCACAGATTTGAAGCATGTTCTTCTTCAGGGGGATTTACAACCGTGACTCAGAACGCCTTCCAAATCCTCGGAACTCAAAAAACACAGCACTGGGTGTTCTGCACAGCACTGCCTGCTGCAACACATCACTGCACCGCGTTATGTGCCAGCAGGTACAAAACAATTACCCCGTGCCACGCAGCACCATACCCAGATCAGACAGATTTCTGCATTATCCAGGTGCTGCAATAAACTTAAATGACTTTTCCTTTCCTTCTTCCTGCAGCAAAACACCTGCAGGATGATGGCCCCTCGGAGGCAAAGCGCTGTGCAATTCAGCAACAGGCTTCTGTGCTCAGATAATGCAGTGAATGGATGATTTGCTACCAGCATATCAGGCTGCAGCTTCAGAGCTCCTTGATTTGATGGCAAGCACTGACACAGCACACAGATACACTCTCTGGGTACCTGCAGAGCACACAGCAAAACAAGGCTTCAGACTTCGTCTCAGACTTGCTACAAGTCTTGCTACATTTCTACACAGGCACCCCTCATAAACCAAATATTTACCTGACTGCAACAGCCTGTAATTGAAGATGGAGTTTCTGTTCCTATAAACTCCAACAAACCTTTCTGCTACCAGAGAAAAAAAAAAGAACAGGCTGTTTTGGTCTCACTTTCACAAATGAAGCCCAATGACTAATAACTCAGGCTTTCTCCCTGCAGCGTTCGCCTGGTTCTCGCACAAGCTTGGGAAAGAAGCAAAGATTTAGCAGGGAGAAAGGGCTGAATGTGATCTCCTGAGCGGCCCTCAGCAGCCTGCAAAGATCATCCAAAACAAAACCAATCTTCTCCTTCGTTAACACACAACAGGCCCACGCTTCAGAGTCGGTGCTCGCTCTGCTCCTGTGGCCAACAGCCGTCTCCACTCTGCCCTCTTACCCCTGCAGCAGTTACAGCTTCATTTTCAAGCTGACATCTCTTGATTCCTCCCCCCCCTCACGCTGCTTCATTTTAACACCTGGGAGCACAAAGCTGAAGCCATTCAGATCACGTGCCTACTTCAGCACAGAGACACTGAACCAAAACTTCCAGTGTAGAATCACATCGTGAAGTGCTTCTAAAGGAAACCAAAGGCACGGATGTTGTTATTCCCCTCCCAGCAACACTCTTGAAGCTGATGGGAACCATACAACAAAAGCCATGCAGGAGGGGAAAAGGACACAGACTGTTTGATACAGATTGCTAAACCCTCCTGCAGAGCCTGGACTACCTCACTTAACCCTGAGCCTAACGCACTCCAAAATTAAACCAGTCATGTAAGCAGGATGGTTGCCCAGTAAACCAAAAGCCAAACATCAGCAAACAGGAAAAACAGTTTGCTGGAGGAAGGATGTGATGGGGGGGGGGAACATTTCACTGCTTTTTGGAATATACTCTTGAGCTGTGCTCAGCCTCCACCTCGCTAAAAGGCACGGCACAAGTGGGCACCTCACTGCTCCCCCCCCCAGTTAGCCCAAAATAAAAGCCAATTTATCTGGGTGTTAGCATATTGCAAGTCCCAGCTCCTGTCTGTACAAAGCATCTATATAAAGAAAACACCCTCAGCTCTCTGATATAGGCACAGACCCCATGCAAAGGGGACCTCACACTCCCATCTGCAGCCCAAAGGAACAGCCCTAAAAACCCCACAACTCAGGAACATCTCTGTGTCAGCTCAGGGATTGCCTTTAGGGCACCTCCATCCTGCAGGGAACTCCACTCCGACACCTTGGGGATGGTCTCATCGTTTTGAGGAGCCCCACCTCTTCATTCCAAGGGATCCCCACACCTCAGGCAGAACCCCCCTTCATCTCAAGGTACCACACAGTCCATAGGAGGCTCCCTTCACCAAAGGGACCCCCATACCTCAGGATGCCACCCCATCACCTCAAGGGAATATCACAGGACTCGGAAAGCCTCTCAGTGATCACCTCAAGGGAAGTCCATCCCTCACAGGAGACCCCCATGCACCTCAAGAGGACACCATCCTTCACAGGAGATCTCCATTCAGCTTAAGAGAGCCCCAACCCTCACAGGAGACCCCCATTCATCCCAAGGGAGCCCCAACCCTCACGGGAGACCCCCATTCATCCCAACGGAGCCCCAATCCTCACAGGAGACCTCCATGAACCTCAAGGGGACACTATCCTTCATAGGAGACCCCCATTCATCCCAAGGGAGCCCCAACCCCCACAGGAGTCTCCCATGCACCTCAAGGGAACCTCAACCATTACATGAGTCTCTCATTCACCCCAACGGGGCCCCAATCCTCACAGGAGACCCCCATGCACCTCAAGGGAAGCCCATCCTTCACAGGAGACCCCCATCCATCCCAAGGAAGCCCCAATCCTCACAGGAGACCCCCATGCACCTCAAGGGAACCTCAACTGTTACATGAGTCCCTCATTCACCCCAAGGGGGCCCCAATCCTCACAGGAGACCTCCATGCACCTCCAGGGGACACCATCCTTCACAGGAGATCTCCATTCAGCTTAAGAGAGCCCCAACCCTCACAAGAGACTCCCAAGCACCTCAAGGAAGGAGCCCATCCCTCATAGGAGTCCCTCATTCACCTCAAGGGGGCCCCACACCTCACAGGAGACCCCCGTGCACCCTCGAGGAGGCCCCACACCCCAGAGAACCCTCCCTCCACCTCAAGGGATCCTCACACCTCAGAGAAGCCCTCTTCACCCCAAGAGAAGACCACCTCTCCTGAAAGCTCCCCTTCATCTCAAGGGACCCTACAACCCAGAGGAGTCCCTCTTTCACATCCAGGGAACCCCACAATTCAGAGATCCCACCTTTCACCTCAAGGGACCCCCACACCTCAGGAATTCCCCCTTCACCTCAGTGCAGCCCCAACCTCAACTGAAGGGAACGCCATACACCTCACAGAGCCCTCACTTTCCCTCAGAGCCCCTTCATTCCCCCCCTCCTACCCTTCCGTCCCTTCAGGAGCCCCCAGCCCGCCCTACCTGCTGCGAGGGCAGCTCCACATGCAAGGCCCTGGTGGCGGAGCCCGGAGGTAGGGCGGCGGGGCCGGCGGCCGAGCTCATCCTCACGGCAGAGCAACGGCCGGGCAGCGCCTGAGCCCGCCGGGCCGCCCCCCCGCCGCCGGACACCCAAGGGTTAATGGCGGCAGCAGCACTAAGCTGGGCCGCTCGCTACGGAGCCATATTACCGCAGTGCTGAGGGGCGGGCGAGGAGGAGGCGGGAGCTAGTGGCCTGCGTGCCCGCTCATTGGTCAGCGCTCCAACGAGGCGGGAGGCCGGGAGAGCTTTTGAATTGTGATAGGTCGAGAGCCACGTCAATCAGCACCTCTCTCCGCTGCCTCTGTCAAACCGTTGGAACGGGACCCGGCGCCGATTGGCGAGCCGACTTCCGGTAGGCGGGACGACACCGGAAGGAGAGGTTGCTGATTGGAAGGCGGCAGTTTTGATTGACGTCGCTCGCTCTCCGTCACGTGGTGGAGGGAGCTGTTTATATCACGTGGTGGGACGAAAATATTTTGCTGGCGCGGTGCGGGTGGGAGGGGGGAGCGGTCGCCATGGCAACGGGGAGCGGCCTGGGGCCTCAGCGGGCCGGGCCTGTTGGGAGCGGGGCGTCCCACGTGACGCCAGCCCACCCCGCCTATATTGCAGCTTGTCGCACGCCCCAGTGTGGCAGCCTGCCCTGCGTGACCCCAAGTTGCCCTACATCGTGCCAAGCCACCCCACAATACACCAGCCCACCCTACATCACATCAACCCACCCCACATTACATTGACCCACCCGACATCATGCCAACCTACCCCACACCATGCCAACCCACCCCATAGCACACCAACCCACCCCAC